GGGGGGGGGGGGAAGAGGCTGCGCACCTCCCCACAAAATCCGACCATGCAAAAACACACTCCCAAATTTCTTTTTACTCCATTTGTCAGGATTTATCGCTGCGGACAACAAAGACAACGGTACATGGACTCAGCTATGGCTCGTCACAGATTACCACAGGAATGGTTCGTTATGCGACTACCTGACCAACGTCAAGGAACTTAACATCAACTCTATGTTGAGTATGGCAACATCCATCGCCTCAGGACTCACACATCTGCACATGGAAGTCCATGGGACGCGAGGAAAACCTGCCATCGCACACAGAGATTTGAAAAGTCGAAATATCTTGGTCAAGAATGATGGTAAATAACCGCTTTGTGAAATAATTATGCGAAAGTACTGGTTCTTAGATCGCGGCTAAATCCTGTGGCTGTCCTCAAATTTTCTTACTATCATTTGCAGCCCCCATATTTCGCAAAGTATCCCCACTGGGCTCTTTGTCAGATCATTTATCATAATAGTGCCATCTGTCACGATTCAGTGACGTTAATGTTCCATTGTCTTCTCATTGTCTTGTTTGTAACAGTCTCCATGCCTGGGAACGTGGTTGCTCCATGCCATCATTTCACTCGCTAAATTTGCACCATCCAATATTTGGCAGTCATGAAGCGACGCTACCTCCGTAGTGCAGAGCACAGAATACTACACAGAAGGCTATCTCCATTGTTTTTTTGCGTAAAGTGCTATTCGTCGTGATTCGTCACTCAGCAAGTACCCTAAACAGAAGTAGTCACCCCCCTGAAAATATCCAAAATGGCGCTGTATGGGAGAAAGCCATGGATATTTCCAGGGGGGTGACTACTTCTGTTTAGGGTACTTCGGGTAGGCAAAAAACAATGGAGATGGCCTTCTGTATAGTATTCTGTGGCAAGGGGCTAGACTCCAAATTCAGATGTCAAAGTATGTGCTTTAAAAACTTTGGAATACGAATTCTAGAATTACAGGTCAACTCCAAAACCATGTGGAGGGAGTGTAGTTAGCTTTCATCAAAAACTGGAGTAAATGGCTATCAGCTGCTCAAAATTTTAAAAATAAAGCTAAAATAACAATTGAGCCAAATTCAAAAGTGTATTGGGGGCAGTATCTGCCTGAGTCGTAACCAGTTGGAGTTTCATTTCAACATTCAATCTCATCCACAACAGACTATTAGTTTGGTTCGTTTGGTTGACCCTAGATCACCATTCCTAACATCGACAGAAATAAAATCCAGAGGCATGAACCGTGCCATGTGCCATCCCTTTCACTCACTGAATTTGGACCCTCCAATATTTGGCAAAGTGTCCAACCACTGATTTAATATATTTTCCAGGTACATGTTGCATTGCTGATCTTGGTCTCGCGGTATATTACGATGCTTGCAACGATTCCTTCGATCTACCATCTGGGAGCCGTGTCGGCACGAAACGTTATATGGCTCCTGAAGTGCTGGATAATACTGAACCCAAGACTTTCCATGAATTCAAAAAGATTGATATTTATGCCATGGGGTTGGTCCTTTGGGAGATTGCAAGACGATGTGCCTTCTCTGGTAAGGAAACGGTTGAGTGCAGCAGGCCTTAAATATCTTTTACAGGGCCGTCTGACAAAATGTCCGGTGACGTTGAGTTTGGGTCGGACATATGTCCGATGACCTTCAGTTCAGTTTTGACTCGGAAATAAGTCTGAATGACACAAATGGCTAAACGGTAAATGTTGTAAAGATATTAAATAATTTGTTTCTTTCATACTTATTTCCAAGCCAAAATTAACTTGCTTGCCAGCACAGCAGTATCAAAAAGACTTCGACACTTAAGCCCGTTTTCCATTTCACCATTTCGCTCGCCGCCCCGCGCTCGACTATACGTTAAAACAACATTTCCAGTTCACCTTTCTATACAATAGTACTCTGATTTTCCATTTAACATACAAGCCTCTAGTCCTGGGCTAGGGTACATTTTGATTTACGGCGGACAAAGCTACAGTTCGGTCGGACACCATTACACTCGGGTCGGACAAACAATAAACCTCAGTTTCACTTTGGTCGGACAGAATGTCCGGTGGTTTCCTCTCTACGTCGGACAATTTCACGAATGGGTCGGACAATGTCCGTGACCGACCGATATTTTAAGGCCTGTGTTCCAACAAGTCCGATACTGTCATGATATAACAATATTGTTAGAACCCCGCGCCGCCAACCTTGTAACATTCTTGTTATATCATGACTGTATCTGACTTGTTAGAACATCCTTGTAACCAGTCAGATAATGCCATCAAGCGTGTTACAAGTTGTTAACAGCTTGTTCCAAACTTGTTACAACAACTGGGAACAAGCAGTGTGAAGACATCTTGTCGACAGCTTGTCAACAAGTTTGTAGCAACTTGTTTGCAGACTTGTCTTATGCGTTTTTACGTGTGTAGTGCGAACACATCTTGTTGACAAGTTGCTGGAACAGCATTGCCTGAAGTCTGCTGCAGGTTTCTTCCAACTTGTACGTTTTTACGTTATATGTAAACAACGAGTTTGAGTGTTTCATCAGGGGATCCAAACACGAGAAAACTGTATGAAACACGAGCGCGAAGCGCGAGTGTTTTATTGTTTTCGAGTGTTTGGTCCCCTGATGAAACACGAGAAACGAGTTGTTTACACAACATCTCAAACGAAAACATTTCATTGGCTTATATATATTATTATAGTATATTGTTGTGTTTTGACTTGAATTTGTAATTAGGATCTCAGTTATTAGATGAAAACCGTTTTTCATCTAACAACAGTGATAGTATATGATTCTTAGCGTGTTTCCTTGCGGTATCCAACCTCAATCATGTGACGAATTAGGGTGAGTTCATTCGCTAATTTGCTCATGAATTATTAATGAGTTTGAGATGTGTGTATACCAACTTTCCCTGTGCGAGGAAACTTGAGCGCCCGGAGAAAACCCACGACTTTCGACAGAGCGTTGCAGGGGTGGAAAAAGTATCGGAACCTGGGAACCTAGTTCCCAGAAATTTTTTTTGAGTTGAGAGTTTCTCAGAAAATTTTCCAGAAAATATTTCAACATTTTGAGATAACTCTGTTTACTCAACTTACAAGTTACAACTATTCTACTTTATTTACACCGTGCACGCTAACATCAGTAACTTTTAAATATTTGACAGAAATTAATTCTTTTACCCACCCGGCCCTGCCATCACAATGAGGTAAAATGGTAAATATATGCTCTGCAAAGTCTCCAATAAAATGCAAATTAAACAGTAAACAAATAAAAGTGATGGAATAAATAAGATGATAGGACACTTAGTTAAGCATTAGATCCTTACTAGTTGGTCATAACTCATAACTGTGGTATATATATAACAGACAACTATTGCGATGTACAAGCATACAAAAACTAGCCTAAAGCCTATTATTACTAAAGTACAAATAATACAATAATTATGCATTTATAAAGTTTGTTCGTTCACTGCAACCAGGTATATCAATCATGTTTCGCTCGCTACTCTGGTTTAAATAAATTATTACAAAGCCCAGTCGAATTGTAATCAAGACCCAACGTTTCGACACTCCAGTCTAGTGTCTTCATCAGGTGATCTAAAACTGCGATCGTGGCTTCTTAAATACCCAAGGGATGACGTCACCTGCCAAGAAGATGCATATATTCCTCTGGCAAATAGGCGCCGTCATCCCTATTCAAAGCATGATTACTCATACAGTCATCATGCTTTGAATAGGGATGACGGCGCCTATTTGCCAGAGGAATATATGCATCTTCTTGACAGGTGACGTTATCCCTTGGGTATTTAAGAAGCCACGATCACAGTTTTAGATCATCCCTGATGAAGACACTAGACTGGAGTGTCGAAACGTTGGGTCTTGATTACAATTCGACTGGGCTTTGTAATCATTTATTTAAACCAGAGTAGCGAGCGAAACATGATGAATTATGCATTTGTTTTGTTATTTTTGTAATTGTAACATTGCAAATTTTACAGAAAATTTCTAGCCTTCGACCCAGGTTCCCAGAAAGAAAAAAATTTTTCCGCCCCTGGCTTAGCGTTGACTGACTCTTTTTCACATAGAACTATCCAGCATAATTTAGTTCAGTTTTCAGATCACGATTAACATATGTTGCATTTTTCTTTAGCCGAGCAACCCGAGAGCCATGCTAAACCGAACGCGAACATGGTTGGGAATTCTAAAAACTTCTCCAACCCACTGTTAAAATTATTGAATGTAGAAAACGGTGACCGAAGGTCAAAGAAACCCAAAGAAGAAACGTCAAGTATAAATCCTTCCTCTTTTAATCTTCAAGATCTTGTGAGCGGAAAATTAGACAATTCCAGCGGATTAGTTGTTGGAACAGTTCGGAAATCCTTGAAAATTCTTTCAAATAAAAAACCGACGACTTATTATTATTTTGAAACCAAAGGAAAAAATCCCAAAGAAAATCGCCAGTTGTAAGTATGAATTGTCTTAATTAAGATCTGACGATAAAGTCTGACGATGGCTGTGCATGTATTAATTGACATGATTGTTTTGACTGCAATGGCATATGTGCGAGTTCAATTTGAGTCTTTAAAGGGACTGGTCATTATTTTTTTTGAGTGGCACCGAAGACAAACGTTTTTCTTGGTAAAAGTGTTTCTGATCCAACCATTAAAAAGTCAAAAAATGTTTTACCCAACCTCAAATATCAATTAAAAATAAATACCCACTCCTGGCCAAAAACTTTACAAAAAGACACCATTCAGTTGTCACATGCACATGCTCTTTACCACTACTTGTGCAATTAGTATAAATTTTCAAGTTGTTTTGTTTTTCATTTACCCAACCTTTTACTCTCTTACTCTTCGGTGCCACCCCCTTCCCCGCCATAAATAATGACAAGTCCCTTAGTTTAACAAATTAGTTATTTCATTAATACGAAAGGTTTTGATCTGTTGCATTAACCTTCAAATAATTCTCCTCCTGTATTTTAGCATGGTCATAACTGCTCCAAAGACGAAGAAGTCTTCTGTTCATTCTAAAAGGTTAGTATATGCTTTTAAAAACTTGAGTAATGGTGTTTGTGGTGTTACTCTGAGTGTGCATCCACACCGGGAAAGCTGAAAAGTTTGCCGGACCATAGTGGGAATCGAACCCGCGACCTTTGGGTCCAATGCTCTACCAACTGAGCTACGAGGTCAAGTCGGTTCGAGTTCGTGATATTTCGGAACCATTTGAGTAAGGCCAAAAAAAATATGTGGGTTTCCGGTTTCTTCTTATAAAAACTTAGGTAGGGTAGGTCGGTTTTAACTTTTTTTTTTAAACTTTTTTTTTAATTTTCCGAACAAGCGGTCGCCATTTTGTTTAGTAAGTGCTTCCACATCCAAAGATAAATTTCCCTAATATTGCCTCAAATTTCAATTTTCCACAAACTTTTTCCTCTAAGTGGAAACACTTACAAGCATGATCCAATAATAAAGTTTAGGGTCGGGATTTCGACGTCCAAAAGCTAGGTAGGGTCGGGAAACCGGAAACCCACATATTTGTTTTTTGGCCTAATGGTATTGAATAGGCAAGAACGGTCGGTGCCAGTCATAGATATAGGAGTAGGGTTGCGACAGGACAGCTGCGGATTCAGAGGGATACAACTACCTGAAAAATATAAGCTGAACTTCAACGTTTCAAGCGAAGGCTCATCAAATAGGCAAACAGCGAATATCATTCCCTGTTGTTACGATTACGAGTAACATTTCTATAGCAGCGCAAATTTGCATGTGGATATGATATCAAATGCGCATTACATCAAGTATTATGCTTACCTACTGTAATTACTTACTCAGCCTAGACTATTTTATCTTTACGACAATTGTGATATTACTTTCTTAACTGTGTTTATTCTAACCCACCCTGTCAACTTTCCCTTTGGAAGGAAACCGCTCCACCCGGAGAAAACCCACGACTTTTGGCAAAGCGTTGACAGACACTTTTCACATGAATTCGTAGTGAGAATCGAACCCACGATGTCAGAGTTGAAAGCCGCTTGCTCTGACGACTGCACCACCGAAGCCCCCATAGCCCCAGTCATAACATGCATGTAATACGGCACTGGTCAAACGAGAACAAGAGTTGCATGAGAGCTGACAAGCGAGAGTATGCGTGAGGGTTTTCTCAACTCTAGTACCCACGATGTCAGAGTTGAAAGCCGCTTGCTCTGACGACTGCACCACCGAAGCCCCCATAGCCCCAGTCATAACATGCATGTAATACGCCACTGGTCAAACGAGAACAAGAGTTGCATGAGAGCTGACAAGCGAGAGTATGCGTGAGGGTTTTCTCAACTCTAGTACCCCCTGCATGCATGTAATACGGCACTGGTCAAACGAGAACAAGAGTTGCATGAGAGCTGACAAGCGAGAGTATGCGTGAGGGTTTTCTCAACTCTAGTACCCCTGGTCAAACGAGAACAAGAGTTGCATGAGAGCTGACAAGCGAGAGTATGCGTGAGGGTTTTCTCAACTCTAGTACCCCCTGCCAAACATGAACAAGAGTTGCATGAGAGCTGACAAGCGAGAGTATGCGTGAGGGTTTTCTCAACTCTAGTACCCCCTGCCAAACATGAACAAGAGTTGCATGAGAGTTGACAAGCGAGAGTATGCGTGAGGGTTTTCTCAACTCTAGTACCCCCTGCCAAACATGAACAAGAGTTGCATGAGAGTTGACAAGCGAGAGTACGCGTGAGGGTTTTCTCAACTCTAGTACCCCCTGTCAAACATGAACAAGAGTTGCATGAGAGTTGACAAGCGAGAGTATGCGTGAGGGTGTTCTCAACTCTAGTACCCCCGATGAAACATGAACAAGAGTTGCATGAGTGTTGACAAGCGAGAGTATGCGTGACAGTTTTCTCAACTCTAGTACCCCCGGTCAAACATGAACAAGAGTTGCATGAGAGTTGACAAGCGAGAGTATGCGTGAGGGTTTTCTCAACTCTAGTACCCCCGGTCAAACATGAACAAGGGTTGCATGAGAGTTGACAAGCGAGTGTATGCGTGAGGGTTTTCTCAACTCTAGTACCCCCGGTCAAACATGAACAAGAGTTGCATGAGAGTTGACAAGCGAGAGTATGCGTGAGGGTTTTCTCAACTCTAGTACCCCCGGTCAAACATGAACAAGAGTTGCATGAGAGTTGACAAGCGAGAGTATGCGTGAGGGTTTTCTCAACTCTAGTACCCCCGGTCAAACATGAACAAGAGTTGCATGAAAGTTGACAAGCGAGAGTATGCGTGAGGGTTTTCTCAACTCTAGTACCACCGGTCAAACGAGAACAAGAGTTGCATGAGAGTTGACAAGCGAGAGTATGCGTGAGGGTTTTCTCAACTCTAGTACCCCCGGTCAAACATGAACAAGAGTTGCATGAGAGTTGACAAGCGAGGGTATGCGTGAGGGTTTTCTCAACTCTAGTACCCCCGGTCAAACATGAACAAGAGTTGCATGAGAGTTGACAAGCGAGAGTATGCGTGAGGGTTTTCTCAACTCTAGTACCCCCGGTCAAACATGAACAAGAGTTGCATGAAAGTTGACAAGCGAGAGTATGCGTGAGGGTTTTCTCAACTCTAGTACCACCGGTCAAACGAGAACAAGAGTTACATGAGAGTTGACAAGCGAGAGTATGCGTGAGGGTTTTCTCAACTCTAGTACCCCCGGTCAAACATGAACAAGAGTTGCATGAGTGTTGACAAGCGAGAGTATGCGTGAGTGTTTTCTCAACTCTAGTACCCCCGGTCAAACATGAACAAGAGTTGCGTGAGAGTTGACAAGCGAGAGTATGCGTGAGGGTTTTCTCAACTTTAGTACCACCGGTCAAACGAGAACAAGAGTTGCATGAGAGTTGACAAGCGAGAGTATGCGTGAGGGTTTTTTCAACTCTAGTACCCCCGGTCAAACATGAACAAGAGTTGCATGAGAGTTGACAAGCGAGAGTATGCGTGAGTGTTTTCTCAACTCTAGTACCCCCGGTCAAACATGAACAACAGTTGCGTGAGAGTTGACAAGCGAGAGTATGCGTGAGGGTTTTCTCAACTCTAGTACCACCGGTCAAACGAGAACAAGAGTTGCATGAGAGTTGACAAGCGAGAGTATGCGTGAGGGTTTTCTCAACTCTAGTACCCCCGGTCAAACGAGAACAAGAGTTGCATGAGAGTTGACAAGCGAGAGTATGCGTGAGGGTTTTCTCAACTGTAGTACCCCCTGTCAAACATGAACAAGAGTTGCATGAGAGTTGACAAGCGAGAGTATGCGTGAGGGTTTTCTCAACTCTAGTACCCCCGGTCAAACATGAACAAGAGTTGCATCAGAGTTGACGGGCGAGAGTATGCGTGAGGGTTTTCTCAACTCTAGTACCCCCGGTCAAACATGAACAAGAGTTGCATGAGAGTTGACAAGCGAGAGTATGCGTGAGGGTTTTCTCAACTGTAGTACCCCCTGTCAAACATGAACAAGAGTTGCATGAAAGTTGACAAGCGAGAGTATGCGTGAGGGTTTTCTCAACTCTAGTACCACCGGTCAAACGAGAACAAGAGTTGCATGAGAGTTGACAAGCGAGAGTATGCGTGAGGGTTTTCTCAACTCTAGTACCCCCGGTCAAACATGAACAAGAGTTGCATGAGAGTTGACAAGCGAGAGTATGCGTGAGGGTTTTCTCAACTCTAGTACCCCCGGTCAAACGAGAACAAGAGTTGCATGAGAGTTGGCAAGCGAGAGTATGCGTGAGAGTTTTCTCAACTCTAGTACCCCCGGTCAAACATGAACAAGAGTTGCATGAGAGTATATCATGGATAATAAAATAAATGGATAGGAAACTAGCTGACGTGACCTAATGTTTTCAATGGGCTGGTGGCGTGGTTGGATGTTGAAACCTAGTTGCAAACCATGCAAATTCTCAATAACGGCATGTTTAGCAATACAGCTAAAAATTTTAGTCAAAGAGCAAATAAATATAACTACGCCATTATATGATGAAATCTCTAAGTATTCCCAGTCAATTTTAGCAAATATTTCAAGAACTAAACAGTGAAAAATGCATCGCAAATTTCGTTAAAATTGGCGACGCCAATTTCGTAGACCAGTTTATTGAAGCATTATTCAATTTTCGTAGACCAGTTTATTGAAGCATAAACTGGTCTATTGTTTTAAAAACATGCCTAAGCCACGACAAAGTATTCAAGGTAAATGTTTTTCGTCTTTGTTTTGTATTTTTTTACATTTGTAGAAATGGCATGGGCATGTCAGTTTAATGGGCATGTCAGCAGACCAGTTTATGCTTCAACATTACTCTTTTAAAGCGGAAAATATAGCGAAACAACAAAAATGCTGAGAACTTTGGCAATAAACTTTGGAAGTTTCCTATCCAGTTATTTTACAATCCATGAGTATACTAAATGGACTAGCTGCCGGTGTAGTCTTCAAAGATTTAAAGATTCTAGCTGTTCAGAGCATTGAGGTCCAAATATATAGTTTCGCAAGTAAAAAGTAAATTATTAAATTCATAACATAATTAACATTTTTATTTTACAGAAATAAGAATGGTATCAAATAAACGACGAGGCTGAAATTTGTTAAATATACTTGCAAGAATTTTTAGTACAACGTTGATACAAAACTTCAGCTTGGATTTGCTTGGAATGTATAAATGGTACGATATAAAATTCTGAGTTTTATACTTTGCAAAACTTTTTCCATATAAAATTTGTATAAAGCGATGTCGTTATATTAAACATACGTAAAATAGAGTGAGATAGATTTTTCTGTAATATAAAACTCGACGATGTAAAATAAACTTTTTTTAAATTTAACTCATTAACTAAATATTAAATATATGGCACTCGTGATTTTTAGTTACTGTAATGAAAATATAAAGATTGATAAGTTAAAACCAAGTGAATTCATGACTCAGCCTCGTCTTAAATTTATTGTATAAACGTTGAAATGAGTGACGGAATGGCATGGAGAACAATGAGATTTCCAGAACAATGAATAGACAATGGAACATTCCAATCGCTGGATTTCACTTTTGTTATGTTATGTTATGTTAGGCTATAAGTGTTACACTCCGGGCCATTGGAACAATATACACACCAGATTATGCTGTCAGAACAGCCTGTGCAATGTCACACCCACTGATCCAAATCACAAAACGTCCAAGTTTAGAAAATCTTGCAGGTGGTCAGACTAAAACATAAACATGCCTGTAATGCTTTAATTAACTCGCACCTTGGGCTTTGTGAATGACTATAATTTCCTCGCTAATCAAACTTATCATCAAAGATTGTCGACGTTTTTCAAGAAAATGCCTTTAGAGAAAAAATTGACATAATGGTGTTTGATATTCGCCATGAGTTCCTCACAATATTGGCTGAGACTTTTACCTGTAATTGGTTTACTGCAAACTTGCGTTTGTTCGCGAATATACCGGAAAGATTCCATTAAAGGTGAGGGAATTATTCCTAGTTAGTGTGTGGATAATTGGTCATTAGTAGCTATAATTTCAATATTGAAAAATGGTCTTTGAGCATTCTGATTGGCTCCCTCAGCAGTAATTCTGAGGCAATAGTTACTGCTGAGACTGCTCTGAGCAGAACGTATTGCTTTTCCAAAAAACTGGCTGAAAATCCTCAAAATCGTTTGGCGAAAATTTCGGAAGCAGAAATAAATAAAATAAATAAAACTGTTTCAATACTGAAATTATACTAAAACCATTAGTGCCTCAGACTATATTCACTTCGCCTTCGGTTCCGTGTATAAGCTTTTAATCACCTCGCCTTCGGCGACTAATTGTTAATTAATTATCTTGTTATTGTTACTGTTTTGGTGGTGGGCCATTCCATTTAATATCTACACCCCGGCGGGGGGGATTTTCCGAGGGGGAGAAAGTTCCCCAAGTTTATGATAGAAAAATTAAAGAATTTCCGAAGGTGTTTAGCAAAAAAACCGTTTCTGAATGGGTCTAACATCACCACATCAGAGACCTTGTCCACACGGGGGTGTAAGTATTAAATGGAATGTCCTACTTTAGCAGTACCTTGATAAAAGAGCAAAAGGGTTTATGAGAGTTGGAAATTTGATACGTGGTTGCTAGATGAAACGCTAAAAATGAATAATGTTGGCAGTGAATTTTTTATTTTAAATGAAACGAAATACGTTCGAAGCTCTAATTCGAAGCACTAATAACGGACACTATCAACCATATTTCCACAGAAATCGGAAAATGTGCTTACTAAAACTTCGTGAAAAAGGCCTGGAGCAAGATATCTTGGGAAACCCATATTATGCACCCCATAATATAACAGCCATCTAATAACAGCCATTAGAGAATGTTCCCCGTTTTGACTGTAAAATATTTCGTATTTGCTACTGTGTGATAACTAAGGTTTCCCAGGGAGGGGAGGGGGTTTGTGTTCCCATGTTCCCCACCAAGATTTTACCTTGTTCCCTTGTTTCCCCACCAAGATTTCACCATGTTCCCTTGTTTCCCCACCAAAATTTCACCTTAGAGAATGTTCCCCGTTTTGACTGTAAAATATTTCGTATTTGCTACTGTGTGATAACTAAGGTTTCCCAGGGAGGGGAGGGGGTTTGTGTTCCCATGTTCCCCACCAAGATTTTACCTTGTTCCCTTGTTTCCCCACCAAGATTTCACACCATGTTTGTGTTCCCATGTTCCCCACCAAGATTTTACCTTGTTCCCTTGTTTCCCCACCAAGATTTCACCATGTTCCCTTGTTTCCCCACCAAAATTTCACCATGTCCCCATGTTTCCCCACCAAGATTTTACCATGTTCCCTTGTTTCCCCACACCAAGATTTCACTATGTTCCCCATCAAGATTTTACCATGTTCCCTTGTTCCCCACCAAGATTTTACCATGTTCCCTTGTTTCCCCACCAAGATTTAACCATATTCCCTTGTTTCCCCACCAAGATTTCACCATGTTCCCTTGTTTCCCCACCAAAATTTCACCATGTTCCCTCACCAAGATTTCACTATGTTCCCCATCAAGATTTTACCATGTTCCCTTGTTCCCCATCAAGATTTTACCATGTTCCCTTGTTTCCCCACCAAGATTTCACCATGTTCCCCTGTTTCCCCACCAAGATTTCACCATGTTGCCTTGTTTCCCCACCAAGATTTCACCATATTCCCTTGTTTCCCCATCAAGATTTCACCATATTCCCACCAAGATTTCAATATGTTCCCTTGTTTCCCCACCAAGATTTCACCATGTCCCCTTGTTTCCCCACCAAAATGTCACTTACCACGATTTCACCATGCTCCCCACCAAGATTTCACCATGTTCCCTTGTTTCCCCACCAAGATTTCACCATATTCCCTTGTTTCCCCATCAAGATTTCACCATATTCCCATGTTCCCAACCAAGATTTCAATATGTTCCCTTGTTTCCCCACCAAGATTTCACCATGTCCCCTTGTTTCCCCACCAAAATGTCACCATATCCCCATGTTCCCCCACCAAGATTTCACCATGTTCCCTTGTTTCCCCACCAAGATTTCACCATGTTCCCACCACGATTTCAATATGTTCCCTTGTTTCCCCACCAAGATTTCACCATGTCCCCTTGTTTCCCCACCAAAATGTCACCATATCCCCATGTTCCCCCACCAAGATTTCACCATGTTCCCTTGTTTCCCCACCAAGATTTCACCATGTTCCCACCACGATTTCACCATGTTCTCTTGTTTCCCCACCAAGATTTCACAATGTTCCCCTGTTCCTCCCCACCAAGATTTCACCATGTTCCCTTGTTTCCCCACCAAGATTTCACCATATTCCCTTGTTTCCCCATCAAGATTTCACCATATTCCCATGTTCCCAACCAAGATTTCAATATGTTCCCTTGTTTCCCCACCAAGATTTCACCGCTTAAATATCCCCTTTTCCCTATGATCTTTCTTGGCGTTGTTCCCTTGTTCCCATTCCAAAATATGCTTGTTTCTTTGTTCCCTAGAAACCCCCGGGATACGCTGTATAATGTCCAGTTTGGAAACGATATTCTTCATTCTTTCTAGTACCTGTGAATTACGAAGACACGGAATCTGCTCGATATGACACTGAAGAGATTGAGTACGACATCGTGGATCAGAAACTCCGAATGTGGGGCGAAGAAGATCACGTTGTACGTCTTTCTCAATCAAAAGGTGATTCTTTTACTGTGTACAGTTTTTTGGATCGCTCATGAGTCTTTAGTTAGTCATTCACCTTTTGACGCAAGCCAGCGATAATCCTGAAAACTGCGTTCGTGTATATAGCACACGGAAACAGTGGCGAAGCCAGCCCGACAATTTGGTCATGCTATGCAAATTTTAAATCAGTATTCATTTCTTTAGAAACAGATTGTTTTCACGGTCTATATAAACGCGGAAATATTTGCATAACATAACCAAATTGTCGGGCTGGCTTCGCCACTGCACGGAAGAAAAGCAACGTTGCTGGCACTTTCGAAATTAGATCGTATTTCATCATAACCAATAGCTTATTTATTAAAATAGCCATATTCACATTAGAGACGGACAAGTCGTCTAGACGAACAAATCGTCTCTCAAAAATCGTCTTCACAGACGGACAAGTAGTCGAACAAATTCAGACGACTTGTTCGTCTAAAATTTTGTCCGACACGTTTTCATATCTGATAATTTGTCCGACTAAAAGACGATTTTGAGACGATTTGTTCGTCTAGACGACTTGTCCGTCTTCTAATGTGAAAACGGCTATTGTCTTGTCAGACAATGTGTGTATTGGGGATATTGCTGCCTGGTAATGCAATTAATATTGCAATTCTATTTCAACTCGTAAAGTCTAGAGGTGTAACGACGGCAGGGAGATGGTCGTAACCTCTTAATGTTTTCAATTTTATCATTGTTTCTTAATGTTTTTATCTGTGATATCATAAAGCGTGTCTAAGATGCAAGACATAGGAACATTTCCGGGCGATTAGACGCTCCCACTCATTAACGGCTGGTTACGCCCCCATCCAAAGGAATTCGAAACTTTTCTTCTATGAAAATAAGCTCGTGTGTGATTCAGTCCTAAGTCATCCGCCTGTTTCTATGTTTTGTCAAAATGTCTCTGTGCTTTGATAGCTTAATATATATTACTGTCTTAATGTTTCGTTTCTTTCACTTGTTGGCCGCCCTGTTTATGAAAGTCATTCGTCTTTAACAGTTGAGTTTACGGTGACTCATTCACGCTTCAGTGGGTTTATAGTTTCCACATTTTTACCTGACCATCGATGCGTGAAAACATTTAAGATCAGAAATCAAACGATTAAGATCCGAGAGTTAAAGTGATATCCTGATAAATAATTGTAAAAGGATGGCTAGGAATTGGACCTTTTATACTGCTTGGCCTTCATGATGTTTTTCGTATACAAACTGGATATTTTACGATGAATTGTCGAGCTTTTTCCTATTTGGGATGTCTTGTAGTTGTTTGTCTCGCATGGAGTGTCATAGCAGGTTTGGTGTTTATATAAAAAATTTTCAACGAACGTGGAATAGCTGTAAAGAGTATTAAGAAACATAAGCTATTGTATCAATACGATGTCTTCGTGTTGTATAATATATTCACGTGTATGGTCGCAGCTTCCAAATAAGAATTTTACTTGATACAGACTGTTCGAATGAACCAAACTCATTTCACAACATTGCACGAAGTCATTCGCTTCAGTAGATGTAGAATAAACATTTTACAGTTGTTAATTTTGGACATGAAGCGTGAAATTATAGTGAAATACGTGAAACTAGTTGATAAAGAAATCTATGTAGTTAAAACTATGTTAACTAAATAAGAATATTATTTTTTTAATATTATTACATCTGTGTCTCCTTTGAACTTATAGAGCTATTTATGTAAACTGGATGGCTCTGTCAGTTCTAAGCATGTTGTCACTAGAGATCCAGTAAGATTCGTCCCATATTGCTCCAGACTTTCAGTATTACTGCAGGAGGAAACCCGAACTAAACTAACTTAAGGGCCGTCCCATGTATAGAGTCAAAGTGAAATCACTCTTCTCACATACTACATGCTGTGAAATTATTATCAGACAATTCCCAATATATTTTTTCTTGGCAGAAAAAGTATATTCCCGGAAAGAGTATACTGAAATTAGTAAAATTGCAAAGTTTGGTTGCGAAATGTTGTAAAATGCGGAAAATATAGCCTTGCAAAATTCGCAAATTTTGTATACTTTATTTAGTATTGCATGCGGAAATTGCTGCGACATTTGGGCCCGAAAATAGTAGCAATTTTCGCACGCAATACAAAAGTATACAAAATTTGCAAACTTTACTAGACAATTTTCCACATTTTACAATATTTCGCAACGATGCAAACTTTGCAATTTTACTCATTTTAGTATGCTCTTTCGAGCTGTGGTGATTTATTTGCATCTCCTTGCCTAGTTTTAAAATTAGTCTATAATGGGAATTGCCTATTGCATATTGCATGAATTGATCCACAATAGTTACAGAGGTGACACTCACATATACTAACCAGAGAATCTTTTTGTGTTCTATATAGTGACTCCAGGTTCAGACCGCGAGGGAGTGAACCCGAGATTTACAAAAATCAGCAATCGTACCGTGATCCCAGATCAGAGCGAACTGGATCAAGTCGATGAAGAGGCATTGAAGAGAGGACATGAGGAGATTACTGTGGATAAAGATGATGAGATCTTGACTGAAGTTATTGAGGGTGAGTGTGAACTAAATCAAAGTAACTTTATTTATACTGGATAGCTTTATCCGTTCTTAACTGTTCTCCCTGGACGTCCTGGTCATTCCTTATTGATCCAGTGTTATACAACAAGAGGAAACCTAAAATAAACTAACTTTATTCATACTAGATAGTTCTACCAGTTCTAAGCTGTTTTCGATGGAGGTCTAGTGAGGGTCATCTCTTATTGATGAGGTGTTACTACAGGAGTGAACCTAAACTAGACTAACTTTATTCATACTGGATAGGTCTATCAGTTACAAATTGTTCTCTCTAAAGAGGTTCAGTTAGAGTCATATCTCTTATTGATCCAGTGTTACTACAGGAGGAAAGCAAAACTATAAACTAAACCTTTAGTGGCTCTTTCAGTTCTAAACTGAGGTCCATTAAGGGCTGTTTGTGGTATGATATTAATATGCTAATGTGTACATATATAGCTAGGTTTACCATCATTAACTGTTTTCCAGTCTGGCAATCGTTCATAGTATATGGCATGGTAGAAAATAATGTCACAAATTCTTTTCATTTTCACTAGATGATGCTCCCCCAAGCTCGTTGCCTCTTTCGATCAAATCAAAACCGACAGTTCTACCATCAATGTCTGTTAGCAATGCCACCAAGCATCGCAATTTGTCAAATAAAGAATTACAAAATACTCAACCTACAATAAACAAGGACAAAAGTGGGTATTTCTTCGGTAAATCGAAAAATAAATCACCAAATACGACATTAACGTCTGGAGAGCAAGGACAAAATGTTGCTGAGCATTCAACAGGAAATGCAAACGTTTTACATCAGAATAACTCGTTACAGACAGCACAAATAATTGGTGATAGTTCTTCGACGTCGCAAAGGAGTACAAACTTTTCATTACCAAGTATTTCAGGAGAGACAAATAAAATTGATTCAATCGGTCAAAAGTTTGAAAACTCATCACAGAACACTAGCTCATTTCACGATGAGAGTGCAACGTCGCAAGTTCAATTATCTGAGTTCAATACGACGAAAGCTAACGCTATCAATAATTCACTGAGTCAAGGAAGTTCAAATCTAATGCCATCAACTTCTACTCAAAATTCGTACACTGAAACTTACAATGAAAGTTCATCTTTTGGAAATAAGCCATTTGGAAAGACTGCCATTAAGGACAATGTCTCGAATTTGACTGATTTGCAAAATATCGAAACAGTCAAATCGAATGACAGTAGCAAAAATACTAATACTCTCTCAGCAGATTTAACGAAAACTGTCAATTCTACCAGCAATAATATTTTTCTCAAAGGTGTAGAAAATATTTCAAAGATGAAAAAGTCTATAGACAACAACAGTACGGATGCTACATCAATTATTGTACCTGAACAAAGCCAAAATAGGGTAAAGGAGTCATCAGATATAGGCCGAGCACGTGTATTTAACACAAATGCTACAAGGACTTTAGTTTCGACAGGTAATTTAACTTCAGAAAGAGACAAGACGAAAAAGAAAACGGTGGATAGACTAGAGCAGAAGATGGATGTTTTGCTACGTTCTCATAGAGATTGGGCTAAGGAGCCACAAGGACAACAAGAGAAGAAGAATGTCAGTCTTCATGCGGGTAAGAAAGATGAAAACTGACTATGTTAGCTAACTTTCATGGATAGCTTTATTCTAACTGTTCTCGCTGGAGGTCCAGTGAGAGGCACTCTTTGTTGACCCAGTGTTACTACTACAGGAGGAAACCTAAACTAAACTAACTTAATTTACACTGGATAGCTCTATCAATTCTAAATCGAGATTCAGTAAGGGTAATCTTTTTCTCTACAGTAGTGTTACTACAGGACGAAACTTAAACGAAACTAACTTTATTTATACTGGATAGGCCTATACATTGTAAATAGACAGTAAGGATTTTCGCTACAGGAGGAAACCTAAACTAAACTAACTTAATTTACACTGGATAGCTCTATCAATTCTAAATCGAGATTCAGTAAGGGTAACTTTTTCTCTACAGTAGTGTTACTACAGGACGAAACTTAAACGAAACTAACTTTATTTATACTGGATAGGCCTATACATTGTAAATAGACAGTAAGGATTTTCGCTACAGGAGGAAACCTAAACTAAACTAACTGTAGATTGACCAGTTCTAGCCTGTTTTTGAAGAGCTATTGGAGGGTCATTGGAATTCAACCCAGTCCCTTTCTATTGTTTTTGTTTGTGCGGTTGGAGACGAAGTTGCCAGTAGTTTGCCGAAATTTTGTATTTTGACTTCGATTTAAAGACTAATATTATGATTTTATGAACTGAAAACTTGATTACCGTCCGTTAGAAAAATCTAGAATTAGCTGGGAAAATGATATAAAATCTGTTTACGACCCTCGTATTGGCTTCACTTTTCCCATTGGCCGAATGACTGATAGTTCTTACTCCAGATATATAGAGAGTTCACTGGTCTTGGACTGATGATCCGTCACTAGTATTAATCGTTCCAATAATGGGCAACTTGCATGTTAGACTGAATTTTAATCTAAGTAAAGAGAAGACAATCAAACACCACAGCTATAAAGAACATAATGAAATTAGTAAAATTGCAAAATTTGGTTGCGAAATGTTGTAAAGCTTCGAAAATATAGCCTTGCAAAGTTTGCAAATTTTGTATATGTTTGTATTACGTGCGGAAATTGTCACCATTTTCGGCTCAAAAATGGTAACAATTTCCGCACGTAATACAAACATATACAAAATACGCAAACTTCGCAAGACTATATTTTCCGTATTTTACAACATTTCGTCACCAAATTTTGCAATATTTCTTATTTTAATAAGTTGTTCACGGGAAATTACTTTTTTTGCCTAGACAAAAAATTAGTCTAACATGCAATTTGTCTATTGATTGTTCGTGTTTTTCTAGATAATGGTTCACGAAGCTTTCTTCCAACAAACGTGCGTCGTATGAACATTATCCATCACCACGCATCGACTTCCGCTCCTCGCAAGCAAAAGAAAGCCTCGCGAAAACTGAAGTCCTTCTTAACAGCGGTCAAACAAATGTTCAAGGAACCCGAAACCGCGCAAGATATTTTGGCTTGGGAGGCCTGGGGACCATGTTCCAGGACTTGCGGAGAGGGCGCGGTCAGGATACGGCAGAGGAAATGTGCGGGACTGGTGGCGAGAGATTTTGATGTCGCTTGTCCAGAACCAAGAGAGCAAAGACAGATGTGTCCTGTTGTGTCTTGTTTATGTATGTTATTGTATGCTCTCAATTCCGTCATTGTCTATTTTTGATTGTGAAATAAGTCTGTTATCAATGGATCACTCTATTGTTTTAGTGTTACTACAGGAGGAAACCTAGGCTAAACTAACTTTATTTATACTGTATAGCTTTATCAGTTCTAAACTGTTCTCCGTAGAGGTCCGGTAAGAGTCATCTTTCATTGATCCAGCGTTACTACAGGAGGAAACCTAAACTAAACCAAATTTAGTTATACTGGATCAGTTCTAAACTGTTCTTCCTAGAGGTCCAGTAAGAGCCATCTCTTATTGATCCAGTATTGTTGTAAAGGCTAATTTCCACTCAGGAAAATTATCCGTGGATTGGAACGGACAAGAAAATTTTTCTTTGTCTTGTGAGCTCTGGGTTGGAACTAATGACTTTATCACAAAGAAAAATTGTCTTGTCCGTTCCAATCCACGGATAATTTTCCTGAGTGGAAATTAGCCTTAAGAGAAACCGAAGTACCTGGAGAGAATATGGGTTGTTTATAACATAATAATCAAACAACGACAGTGGAACCCCCGTTTGGATAGATGTGAAATCCACATGCATTAACACCTTATAGTACAAGATTTAAGCGTAATAGCTGTTTCTATGTTTCCATTCCTTTAGCAAAGCACGATAAAAAGTCTTCGCAAGAGTTCCCGAAAACAACGGAAATGGCGAATAATGTTTCACACCGTACTGTTGCATATTACAAAAATGTTGATGAAGCGTCTGGGAAACAAGCAGATAGCCTCAGAGCCCCAGCTAGCAGCGCTGTCAATAAATTCATTGGTACCGAGAATAATTTAAACCAAGACAGTGATGACGTCAGCACCACATCACGACTTAATACCGAAGACCAAACGGACGACGACGCTGTAAGTCCTACGGAAGATAGCGAAGGTACCACGGAAGGTTACGATGAGTCGTCGGTACAGGAGTACCAGAGTAATTTAGCAAGTGTCCAAACAGCCAATCAGAAACGTTATCTTTACACAGTTTGGGGTACCTGGTCTGCATGTACACGCACATGTGGTCAGCGGACATACGCCTTCAGGAAACGTTATTGCATAAATGCTGTTACTGGCGAAATTAAACGACATTGTCAGAAGCCAACTATTTTAGCCAAGAAATGTGTTCTCACTCCTTGTCCAGGTGGGTGCTTTGGATTGAATTATGATATACCAGTTACTTGTTCTAGTTTACAAAAGTATAGAATAGAATAAATGTGATTAAGGGCCTGTTCATATGGGCAAAAGTTATCCCGGTTAACGAGAGAACTTTTCGACTAGCCAAATACTTTTGTTCTGTTCATATGGAGAAATATTATCCCACTTACCTGGAAAAGTTTCCGGCTGTGACGTAGCACTGAACATCAATTGAATTGAAAAGTTGCTGACACGACAAAAAGTTATCCCGCTAAGCGGGAAAGTTGTGTTCATATGGGGAAAACATTATCCCGGTCACCGAGATCTCGCCTGTCAACAAGCGAGATCTCGGTACACGGGAAAACTTTTCGTCTCATATATGAACGCAATGTAACTTTTCATATTATTTTCGTAACAAGGCGAGATCTCGCTCGTAAACTAGTCGAAAAGTTTTCTCGCTAACCGGGATAACTTCTGCCCATATGAACAGGCCCTAAGAATTAGAATTATCTACATGAGTGAATAACTCGTACGCATACAGTAATTTTAATGCTTAGTTTCCTTTGTTCCATTTTATGTTTTTGGTCCCTGCAATATACAGTTCTCTGATTATTATTTTGCCTCAGTCGTATGTGAGAAAAATTTGTCCATTTTGACTCCGATTAAGGTTACTTAAAATTCAAAGTAAACTTCCCAACAACTTGTTTATGATAAACTGTAAGTTAGGAAATGTTCTTTTTAGAAATCTTGTCTGAATCAGTAGGAATTCTCGTCTATGTTGTTTTGATAAAAACACGTTCAGAAATACATAAACTAAATCAGTAGGTTATACTATAGAACTAGGGCTAATCCAGCTCTGAACAACTAGCCTCTGGTTTTCGTCTGTTGCTGGACCGCTACAGGACTGGTAGAGCTATCCTGCATAAATAAACTAAAGTTAGTTTAGTTTGGAGTGAAAGCAGTTAAAGAGCCCCTAACGTTGTTATATGTCTTATAGTTGATGGTGGCCTATCTGACTGGTCAAAATGGTCATCCTGTTCCGACAGCTGTGGTATTATGGAGCGACATCGCAGTTGTACGAACCCAAAACCTGCATTTGGTGGGCGAGAGTGTTTTAAACTGCCTGTACAGATGCGCTTATGTGGAACCTGCACAGGTAATTGAAATGATTCATTCATAGTCTATCAATTAAAAACTTTACTAAAATCCTTATTTCTATCTTTATATTTTAGAGGACAAAGTTGTGGCCGTTCAAAAACTGCCTTCGTATTCTCCCAAGGCTCTTTGCGGGTTCGATCCGTGTCAACGTGTTGGGTGCTTAGAAGACAAAGGCGCGATTTGTGTGACTGACTTTGAGTGTAATCCAACGTTCTTTGATGATAAAGGAAACGTTTTAAAAGGATGTAGAGGTAAAGGAACGTGTTTGAATGGGGAAATTGTAATGAATATAGTTTATTGGGGATTACATCATTAACTTCAACCAAAGTAGCGAAACATGTCTGATATTATACCTGGTTCAATTTCGATCAGGTTGATAGTGATTGACCGATTGTGCCGCAATCGAAAATTACCGACTATTCATGCAACAATTTACCCTATACCGATTTTATAATGACTTCATAATTTCAGTCGACGGAATAAAGGTGATGTCATTCAGTTCAATGTTTTTTTTAATTAACTATATTTTCAAACGTAACATGTTACTGCAACCGAAGTTTAAAACCGTTCATCAATGGCACACTTCACGCATGAATTACGTCGCAGCAACATATTAGAGACCTTACGATTTTAGGACGGCAACGTCTACCAATGCAATAGATCATTTGTGCACGTCTGTTTATTTCAAAACTTCAGAAAAGAGAACTCTTATTGATCCTGGCAAGATTTTTGAAGAAATATTTACAAATTTATAAACAAGCTGTCAGGAAGTTTGCTTTGAATTTTAGGTTAACCCAGGGTTAAACTAATCCAGCATTGAACAACTGGCCCCTGGAAATGAACTATATAATTTTCCACTACAGATTCAACGCAGCTCTTCCTGCGACCGTTGGCTCAGAAGAAATGCTCGTTCAATCCTTGTTCTTTCACAAAATGTGACGCACATGGCGCCAAGTGTTTGGTTGATACCAAATGTCGACCGTTCTTCGTTAACGAAATGGGAAAGAGAGTCAACTGCAAAGGTAAATGTAACTTATCGAATTCTTAAACTATTTAACCTCAAAATGAATAGCTCTAAACTGTTCTCCCTATATTTTCAGTATAAGGACCATTCCTTGTTAGTATACACTCAACTAACCGTGACTCAACTAAGGACAATTACAAATTCAGCATTCTGATTGGCTACACGACCAAGGGCCATTACGTAACGGACCAGGGTTGAGAAAAAAGATGGCGGAACGTTTTGTTTCGCAAAGATTTCTGGGAAATTTTGTTGGGAATTCATTCCCCGAAGAACAAAAGAGACTACAAAATATGATCTGAACATAGTAAACACTCCTAGTCAAAATACAAACTCTAAGCACAATTTGAAAGATTTAAATAAAATTAAAACCACGCACGAGCGTTTGAAGGATTTTGTATTTTGCAAACAACCAGGCGAAAAGTTTATTGAACCGAAGAAAAACATGCAGTGCCAGTTTGACTCAAACTGGAAGCAATCTTCTCACATGCGACGAAATTTTAATGATACAATTGAATGTTGCAGTAATTTAATCCCGGTCGTTATCTTATTCATTTTTATATTTCACTTTTAAAACTCTACTTAACTTTTCTTCCAGGTTCCAACGTGTTGCAGATATCATCAGAACTAATATGTGGTTTTAATCCTTGCAAGATCACAACATGTACTGTAGACCCCGAGGCCAAGTGTGTCACAGATTATCGTTGTAATCCGATTTTCATTAATGCTGCAGGTCAGAGGATATCTGGGTGTACAGGTATAGTTTTTAACTATTATCCTTAAACATACACAATGTTCCTGATGTATTGCTTTGCATACAGCTATTTCAATTAAGGTTGTCCCCGAGCAAAGCCGAAAAGTCGAATACGAGCGCGAACGACTTGCTCGTATTCGACTTTTCCGCTCTGCTCGGGGACAACCTTAATTGAAATAGCTGTATACATTTGTACTAGGAAAACAAACACTTGTTGCAGAAACAGTGTTTGCTGGGATACATGGCACGGAAACAATGTTTTCTCTTGTCTCTTTGTCTTACTTTGGGAAAAGCGGATGGAAAACAGTGTTTCGGTTTGTCCACCTTTAGGGAACATGTTTCCAGGTTCGCTCATCTTCAGAAAATATGGCTAGGAGACAATGTTTTGGCAAAATGTTTTCAAGCTTGCCCCCAAGGTTTTAAATCACCAGGGTGAGAGGGTCGTTTACTATTTTTTACCTTTTTTCTTTCCAAATTCAGAAGACGAAGTGGAAGAAGCTGAGCGACTTTCAACGGAGAGGCCAACAGCTGCTCGACAAAGTACAGAAAATCCTTCTGCCAGAGATGTAACACCCTTTCAACACCACAATCCTTATCGCCTACACAGCTTACAGAAATTTCGAGAGGAATTGTCGGTCAAGAAAAGTATCGAAAGTAATCTCCATGAAACCAAAGAGAAACTAAAAGATATTAAACTACTTGAAGACATCTTCACACGACGATTTCATCATAATGAAAATTTAGATTCCGAGAATAAAACAAATTCTGGAGATATAAAGAATGGACATCCAGATGAATCCGGCTATCATTTGAACACCTCTTCTAACGATCTTGGAAAAGAAACTAGGAAAGCAAGCAGTATTAAACTTTTGGAGCATATATTACAACATCATTTGCATCGTGGCAAAAGTTTGAATTCCACAAATTCGATACTTACTAAGCAATCAGAAAAATTCCACGATAAGATAGAAAGTAAATCCGAAAACAGTGGTATTAAACTATTGGAGCATATATTACAAGTTCATTTGCATCCTAGCAAGAGTTTGGATTCTACAAATTCTACACTTTCTGAGCAATCAGAAAAATCCCGAGATAAGACAAAAGGTAAATCCGAAAACAGCGGCATTAAACTATTGGAGCATATATTACAAGCTCATTTGCACCGTAGCAAGAGTTTGGATTCTAAGAAATCAATGCTTTCCGAAAAATCAGAAAAATTCCAAGATAAGACGGATGATAAATCCGAGATAGACTTTCAGAATTTTAGGCATGATAATGACAGTGAAAATGGTAGTAAAGCATTGGTGGAAAATGGTAACAAGAAAAGCGCAAATAAAATCACTGGTTTTAATTTGTTAAACTCGGATAATGGAATAACATCTGATGATGGAATTAAACTAAAAACTCTTCACCAAAATAAAGACGAAACTACTGATATCGTGGATAGCCCTTCAATTGCGAGTAATTCATTAGATTCACCGAAAAGCCATGAAATTTCTAAAATAAACCAAGTTTTGGACAAACCATTAGAATTTACGAACAAGAATAGTGTTGACCCGAGTGAAAAGCTATTTCAATCAAAAACTTTGACGGATAAAATCATGGAAACTGATTCAAATGCAAAAGTATCTTTGACAACGCAACGTAAAAGCGAGTCAAAGAGCTTGGAAAAAGAACGAGGAAAGAATTTGGCAGATGTAGATAGGTTTATACTGGATGAATTATACAAGAAGAAACAAATGGAAGATTCGGGTACGACCTCCCTTGGATTGTCTGGTGCGAATCATGCCCAAGGTAAAGTTACTTCAAATGCGGTTGGGGTAAAAGGCTACATGGGGGAAAATAATGTTAACAGTGTGGTTAAAAATAATGAGGGAAACAGTAGCGGTTACAACAACGATAACAACAACAACAACAACGATAACAACAACAACAACAACTGGAACAACGGCAGTAACGACAGTAACAGTAACAACGATATTTCCAACGGTAGCGGCAACAACAACAACATTAGTAGGCTCAATGACAACAATAACAACAACAATGACAACAATAACAAGAACCTAAGCAGTAGTGCTGTTAGTAACCAAGATTTTAATAATAGTACACTTTTAAATACTCACGAAAACATTCTCAAGAACAGTCCGACCAGTATAAGTGGCACAATGAATAAAATGAAAGGAACGAACGAAATCATTAATAACCACTTAACAACAACAACAACAACAATATCCACTGCAAACAACAACAGCAGTAACAACAACAGCAATAACAACAACAACGGTAACAACAACAGCAGTAACAACAACAACGGTAACAGCAACGTCATCAGCTACAACAACAACAATAACAATCGTATCAACTTGAATCCCGACTACAACAAAAACGTGCTTAATACCAAAATAAACTTGAAACCGTCAAAATCACTCCCAACCATTATTTCAACAACACCAAAATCCAATCCGCCACCACAAAACAACACAATACACTACAACCTAGGACTCGCCAAAATAGCATCTACAAAAAATGAAAACGAAAACAAACCCCTAGATACTAAACTAAGAATCCACAGTAGACCACAAATGCCAAAAGCTTCTTCGGATAAACAACTTGGCGATACCAAAAACGATAATATCAAAGGGAAAGTAATGCCGTGGGAAGAGTATATAGCAAACATGAAAAACATGAATCTTGAAGGATCGGTGTTATTCGACGATGAGAAAAAAGTGTCCCACAGTAAACCTCAATTTGACCACAATCAATCCGATAATTACGATTCTAGCGTAGTTGATGTGAAGCTTAAATCGGGAAAAGTGAAGTTGGTAGACGGTAGCAAGATGGTACCGGGACATGTTGCTGTTGGAGCTGAGACAGGAAAGCCTGGGATTGGAGGACAAGTGATACATTCAAGTGACCCTAATCTTGAAATACCCCCGTAAGTGTGCAAGAATTTCCAGTAGGGTGAATGGCACAGCAATCACTTCACGATTGCTATTGCATTAGTACAGTGAGGATTAGACTAAGGTTATGGTCACAAATTGTCATAAACTCTCATCAACTTTGAGTGTAAATTTTGATGAAAGTTTTTGCTCTTTTGACCAGTATTAATCCAGTCAACTCTCACGCAACTCTTGTCCTGGTTTGACCGGGGCGTGAGAAAACTCTTCATGCAAACTTTCGCTTCTCAACCCTAATCAACTCTCATCCTTGTTTGACCAGGGTATTTGGCCAAGAATCAGGAATAAGATCTGGATCAGGTCAAGAATTAGGGTGTGTTTTAAGATTAGAGTTGTCAGGCTAGGTTTGGGATAACTGATCGTATATGAATGTCGTAGCTCCATGAATCCGTACATGGGACGTAGGCTTTAGTTTTGGAGGTCTATTTTGTTAACTGAACTTGCTATTTATTTTCCTAGGTATGATGAAGAAGTAACTAGCAGTGCATTTGAAAAAGAACAAAGCGAAAATCCTGAAGGTAATATTTAATAAATCTTATGCATTCTACACAGAATGTGCTGTATAGTTGAATCGATATAAGACGATATTTAACTTTAATCCACAAACGATACTAGTTGACAGGCATTTGCTATGTATCCCAATGTACCGTTTGCGTCCAACTCGAGTTCAATTCTTGCGACTTATGTTCTTATCTGATCATATTTCCAGGTATACCGTCAAAAGCTGAATTGAATAGAATATTAAACTCAGTCTCTGATTCCCAACTGGCAAGTGGCAACCAAGAATCTAACACCCTGCAAGGGAACTCACAAGATCAACATGCGGACTATGTATTACCCCAAAAAAGCAGACATGAACATAAATACCCGCTAGCATCAAGTGCTCGACCTTTGTTGTCTCCAGCACAACAAGTTAATCTGGTTACCAGTAAACAAGTTAATCAGGTTACCAATAAACCAATTAATCAGGTTACTGATATACCAGTTCATCAGGTTACCAATAAACCAGTTAATCAGGTTATCAATAAACCAGTTAATCAGGTTATCAATAAACCAGTTAATCAGGTTACTGATATACCAGTTAATCAGGTTACAGATATGCCAGTCAATCAGGTTACCAATAAACCAGTTAATCAGGTTACCGACAGTCCATCTCAAAATGACTTGATAAATAAACTGGTTTTAAAAGCTGTCCAACAAGAGCTTGCCAAATTAAAACTTGATGGATTACTTAAGGATTCATTGAAAAACACGACACCCATGGCACGTCAGGGTTCAGATGAGACAGCTAAGATCTTCACGCAGAAGCCAAACCCAGGATATTTGGGAGTAACCAGAAAACCTAGTGACAACCATGCATACTTAGGATTGTCGAAGGGATATCACGGGTTAGATTTAAAGGTCCATGGACAACCGGGAGGTAAAGAGTTGTCCTCAACACCAAAGCCATTCCATTTCAACGCAATCTCTACAAACGTGCCTATATTTCAAGACGAGAAAGGAAGTCATTCGTACAACGAACAGGCGAGTGATACTGATAGTCAACAGGGCGGGGTAGGAAGTGGACAGCAGGGGAGTGAACCTGACAAAAATAATGATCTAGAAAATGAGGCTGAAAGTTTGCGTGAAATTGATGAGATTCTTAAAAGTCCATACACTGGAAACGAAATCGAAAAAACTACAGCGAGACCTGGTCAAACTACAAATACCCCTGAAGAGAACAATAATCACAAAATAGTGGAATCATCGAACGAATATACAGTGACACTGGCTCCAATGAAAGAAGGGGGCACTGAGAACGATGAGGAGGATCAGAGGATAAGTGAAGTGAATGACGAGGATCGTGAGGAACAGAAAGAGCCTGCGAACAAAGAGTCGTATTCGCCGGCATTGATGGATGAGATTAAGGAACTGGGACTTCATGAATATTATATTAAAGATGGTTTTCAAACACCGCATGTTCCTAAACACAGGAAGGTCGCTGATGGACAGGTAGGGCATTATTTGATAGCTTAAGATTTACGACGTCAGGTAGGGCGTCAGGGCCGAGCAGAGAATTTGGACTAGGACGTCATCCTAAATAAATAAATGAATAAATAAATAAACATCAACTTAAGATTCACGACATTGACCTCTAAGCCATAAATATATTTACATCATTTCGAAAATGAATTTTAAAGAGACGCGTGAGTTAATTACGGTTTGTTATGCTCTTGTATTCACGATGGCAAAACTCTTGTTGTGACGTTGTCGACGTTCGGCGTGGACGACGAGATATCGAGAGAGACGCATGCGCACTTGAAAAAAATTACTTCCGCTCGCTGTCCTAAATATTTGGCATCGTAGATTATCTGTTTATTTAGGACGAAGTCCCAGTCCTGTGCTGTGCTCAGTCCTGACGTGCTAGCTGACGTCGGCATCGTAGATCTTAAGTTTGCTAGCATATCACAAAGTGGATATTTCTATCAGTTCAAAACTGCTCTATCCAGAGTGGAGTAAAAATCATTCGCCCCTTCTTGGTATAATAATAGAGAGCTTAAGATCTACGACGCGGCCGGCTCAACGACGCGCTTGCGCAAGAAAGAAATTTGTCATGCCAGACAAAAACTATGAATAATTTGTGATCCCAGGGGTATTCTCCACGGCTTTGTAATGCTCAGCACAGCGTTAAACTAAGCATTATCACGTCTTTGAGGCAACGTGAAAGCTTATTGCGACCGAAGAGGTGTTACTTAAAGTCGAAATAACAGCAAACATTGCATCGCTTTAGTTAAACTGAGCGATTTGTGATGTCATTTGAAATATTTTCAAACATTTATTACAGTAATGAAATTGCTTAATTTAACGCTCATTCTTGAGCTGAAATTCAGACCGCGTCGTTGAGCCGGCAGCGTCGTAGATCTTAAGCTCTTTATTACAAAAGAAGGAAGTCTGAACTAAACTAACTTTATTTCCACTGGAAAGCTCGATCAGTTCTAAACTGGTCCCTATAGAAGTTCAGTAATTGCCTACCTCTTTTTACAGGAACAAACCTGCAGATGATCGAGTCAACTTCTCCTTACATGTCATCGAGGTCCCAGTTACACGATACTGGATTCTCTTTTTACCATGTTGCCGTTCAGGAGTAATGGCTGTCCGCAATATTCCCCCCTTTAACAGTTTTCCTTTTATTTCGTTATATTATTAATGTTAAGATATTCCTGAAGCCGTTCAATTCGAATGTCGTGACAAAGCGAATTCGGTGTTATGTAACTGGGACCTGAAACGAAATTATGATCAGACAACTGCACGCATAGTTTGTTGCATTATGAAAATCAATCCTAATTCAGCGAGCTCTATATATATCTGGAGCGTGAACTCCAGTCCTTTTCTATTGTTTTTTTTCTTCTACGGTTAACACGACGCAGGCAAGGAGTGTGCCGAAATTTCGTATTTTGACATCGATTTAAGAATATCACTATGGTTTTATGAACTGATAAGTTGATTAGCGATGCGGTCCGTTAGAAAAAAAAACCTGGAATTACCTGTGAAAATTGTATTAAAACTGTTTACGACCTTCAGAGCTATTGGACGTCAATGGCCGCCATCTTGGCTTCATTTTTCTCAAAGGCCGAATGACTGAAGTTCTTGCTCCAGATATATATGTACAGCCATGGATAATGAAATAAATGGATAGGAAACTAGCTGACGTGACCTAATGTTTTCAATGGGCTGATGGCGTGGTTGGATGTTCAAACCTAGTGTTGCAAACCAAATTCTCAAAAACGGCATGTTTAGCAATAATACAGCTAAACATTTTAGTCAAAGAGCAAATAAATATGACTACGCCATTCTACGATGAAATCTCTAAGTATTCCCAGGCAAATTTAGCAAATATTTCAAGCACTAAACAGTGAAAAATGCATCGCAAATTTCGTTAGAATTTCGTAGCTACAAATGTAAAAAAAAATACAAAACAAAGACGAAAAACATTTACCTTGCATACTTTGTCGTGGCTTAGGCATGTCTTTAAAACAATTAGACCAGTTTATGCTTCAATATTACTCTTTTAAAGCGGAAAATATAGCGAAACAACAAAAATGCTTGAGAACTTTGGCAATATACGCGTGGCGTCACAGATTGCAACTAGGTTTAGACTGTGACGTCGGGAAGTTTTCTATCCAGTTATTTTACAATCCATGGTACAGCTCCCTTTCCTAATTAAGAATTTTTTGCTTCACAGGTTCGCCAAGTTTTGAAATCCCATCACTTGGAAGGAGGTAGCGATGATTACGACAGACATAAGAATCACCCCGTGAGGTATAAAAAGAAATTCCACTTGGCCCAGGTTGAAATGCTACCGAAAACTTACGCCGGCCATTCTGCCCTACGACAACATAATGCGGACGGTGACGAGATCGAACGAGTCCCGAACAATTACCGAGAAGCTGACGGCGTTGCCCGATCGCATACTAGTCAGCACGGAGTGGGATCACTGACGAAATACTTAGAGCATTTACGTCAATATGTTAATGGCATGGACGGCGATCTTTTGGACAGTGGTTTAAAAGGCAAACACAGGAACGAGGCGACCCAAGAGGATCTCGGGAATGCGATAATTCTGAACGCGAAGGATGACGGTAATTCCGAAAATGGTATTGACGATTCCGAGAATTCGATTGAAGATTCCAAAACTCCAAGAAATCGAAACCGAATTTCTCAAAAAGATGTTCTGTTTGCTGAAGACAGTGAAACGGGCAAGAATGGTGTGATGGTTTTCAAAGTGTCAGGCGATGATGCTAACTATAGGCGAACGTTAGGATTACGCTCCAGACATCCTAGATTAAAAACATACAGCAAACAAAGACAGTCGATGTAGTGTAAAGAATTTGCTAAGAATCTTGTTAGTAGACGCGTATTTTAAATAAACTATTAAATGGGAAAAATTTCTGTGTTAGTTTAATTTTACAGTAAAATATATCGCGTGAACTCGAATGTCGTACTAAACCAGAGGAGCAAAATCTGTTTGACATCATAAATAAGTGATTAATAATAAATAATAAATATTGTAGCCACAGAGTTAAGCTTAGAGAAGCTAGAAAATGTTTTGTAAATCACCCAGTTTTCATTCAAATCGAAGCAAAGTTTAAACAATTTTGTTGGCGTACGACTATTACATCCACGAAATCCATACTTTTGAGTTCCCTTGCTACTATAACGACGAAAAAACTTTATTTGGACTAATAATAGATGTTCATACAAACTTAGAATTTCCTAAATGGTGAAACCTATACCTGTTAGATTTAATACAACAGACTACAAAGCTGTTTACACGAAAGCGTTTCTAAACAACTTTATGTCTAAATTTCCGTCCTATCTTCATGCCAGTGTCCATATCAGAAAATGGCGACTCGACAAGTTCATTTTCGACAATATCTCTCTGATACGGATTTCCATTCCGTTCGTTCTCAATAATGCTCAGCGGTATGCTTCCATCATGCGCATGTTTGGCTATCAGGCTCTCTCCGACGTTATTACGGACCGTTCCCGTGGACTCCTCGGCAAACGGCTCATCCCGAAACGCTTCTTCGAGGACTTTATCAACTTGCTCATTCGTGAAGTAAGTTTCGGATTTTTTTCGCGCGCTCGAGTCCCAATAACTGTCAAATCGGCCGACATCGGAATCGTCGTTATCGTCCGAACCCATGGTTCGCATTATATTTCCCATTGTTCTCCTACCTCGGATCTCGTCTTCGCGAAACATCGGATAGCCTTGGAATTCGTCGAGAATGAAGTTCTCTTCCGCTTGTGTCATACTGAATGATATCATTATTTGGCATATTATGACTGCCAGTGGGCAACTGTGTGAGAAAGACATTTTCTGAAACCTGGAATATTATGGAAGACATGATCAGAGATATTCAGAGACTACACTAGAAGTCTACTGGATAGCTCTATCAGTTCTAAACTGTTCTTGCTAGAGGTCCAGTAAGGATCATCCCATACCAACCCAGTGTTACTACAGGAGGAAACCTAAACTAAGCTACTGTAACTTTATTTATAAATGATAGCCCTCTCAATTCTAAACTGTTCTCCCTCAGAGGTCCAGTAGGGTCAGTCATCCTTTATTGGTCCTATTGTTTATTTTGACTTTACCAAACACCACAGGTTTTTTCCGGATACTTTAATCTCCTCTTCAGCGCTAGGGAGGTCAGTTAAGAACGGATAAAGCTATCCCAGACCAGTATAAATATATTTTAACAGTTATTTCTGGGGGTAGAAATTGAATTTATCTTCTATAAACACTACATAAAATGGAAGGAGCGCCAGCCCTATACCGTCCAAATGAGTTACCTTGCCCATTAGAGATTTAGCTTGCCTTTTGTAACTAAATTTTTGTTTCTTATATAGGTTTGCTTTTATAGCATTTGTGGCTTAATGATTTGATTCGAGAGCAAGGCAAGTAAGTACATAAAAACTTTAATTAATAACCAACACATAAGGAAGGGGACTTCAATCCGCCATATTGGATTTGACCGAAGTTTTGAGTTGGGGGTCGATTCGTACCAAAATACCCTGGAACCGAGTTAATTAATTATAATTGATCAAGCAATGGATTTACATTGACAAATTTAGGTTTTAAGTAAAATGTACGTGCTTTCTATTTTGCTTTTATTTCTTTAAATTAATCAGTTCAAATCGAGAAATCCGAATATAATTGTATAATTATATACGGCTCACTGCTTTTCCTAACTTCTCTACCTGATACCGGACAGTTTTTAATGCAAGTACGTTTGTCAAACGCCTCATATACAGTAGATAATATTATTATGAAATAAAACAAATTTACTTACTTGAAATGATTATATTTATGTTATACATTCATCGCAGTTTTCGACTTCTCGGCGCCCGTGTTTGTTTTGTTCTGCTAATCAATTATTCAAATACAACCAGAAACTCGAAGCGCACGATTCGCTGAGATTGTTTACCTTTGCGGGTAGCGAAATTGTAAAAAGATAGAGCTTGCTATATATATATACAGACCCAAAATTTTATACTTTGAAGAAACTATACTTTAACTAACAAATAAAACAATCTTGTTGTACGTCTTATTAAAACCATTTTGCTTTATTATGGTGTGAGACCTTTTGTCAAAACAATTGAGTTACACTTACAGCATTTTGCTATAAAACATTTTCCCGCCAAATCGTCACATATTATAGACCAGCATGCATGAAAAGCTCAATCTAGTTTTCAAATATATCCTATTCGTATTATACAATTACTCTTTTAAAAGTTCCTTATATGCATATAAATTATATCTATGTCGATTTTATTTCATTTTTCTTTCAACTCTAAATTAATAGATTTAATTTTACTAAATAAACTAATTTACTTTTTCGGTTTAATGAACAGTTGACGTTCGCGCATGTGTGTTGAGTCATTTCAAGTGGAAATTTGGTCGTGTAAAATGTCACCTGATGACAATTTTACGAAATAAAATCAACAATTTTTAAGGTAAGAAATGACCTACTTTTTCCCTTTTTAAATTACACTTCAATGTTTTCTGTTGATCTGCGAATATAAGGACAAATTGTAGATCATATTTACAAGACACACATGAATAAATTATCTTGTGCCGTCGCGTGTATAAGATTATCATTCACGATCTAGATAATACAATTGTTCATTTACTACTATATTCTCAGCTTATAATACAAACCATGATACGGTCGTATAGATCGTCGATCATTAGCAGTAAATGGAATATTTAGTTGACGACTTCCCGGGCAGTATATATAGAATGTAATCCCATTCGAACAGGTGTTTATTTGTTATGGCAAATCTAAAATCAGTGTGGCATTGATAGTTTAAAGATAAATATCATGTACGATAAATATGTTTTGGGTTTAAAAGAGAGAAACACTTAGTGATATATATAGGGCAAAATGGTTGTTTTCGACAAAAGCATGTGTAGCAACACTATTTCATAAAATTCTCTTTTTGCTAACAAGACATTTTGTCCGCTTGAAGGATTAATACATATGATATTTTATTTTGTCTACTGCCAAACAAAGTTAGGTGTAGAAGTTGACTCCAACGGGATTTAAACTCACATCTTCGGGAGGAGCCGCTCTATACTATTGAGCTATCAATACGGATTGGAGTGTCTGATATAAACTGACCATCCATAATCCGTATGTATACGTATGTGCTAATCATCCTTACTTGCAGCTGAGAGTTAGGCTGAATTTCTTCGACCTGATCGAGCCAAAGGTTTTCTAAGTGCGCCTACAATCCTGGCAAAAATTATGTGGACAGCTAACTTTTCTAACGTCAATATTAACATTGAGACGTTCTTTCATGAAATTTGTCGCCCCCTGCCCCCTATTCAATGTTGTTTCTCGCATTTAAATTTTAAAAGTTTCATTTAGCAACATTGAATTGGGGGTAGGAAGGGGAGAAATTTTCTGGGGGATTAATTCTGTAGAATTCAGTAGAATACACCTATTTTTGTTTGACGCACGCGGTGTCCACGATAATTTTTGCCAGGATTGTAGCTCTGGCAGCGACATTACTCGTGTAATTAAGTAAGTAAGTAAGTAAGCTTCGGTGGCACAGTCGTCAGAGCAATCGCCTGATCACCTCTAAGATCGTGGGTTCGAGTCTCGCTATGGACTCATGTGTGGACTTATGTGAAAAGAGTCTGTCAACGCTCTGCCGAAAGTCGTGGGTTTTTTCCGGGCGCTCCGGTTTCCTCCCACAGGGAAAGTTTGACAAGGTGGGTTAGGATAAACATAGGTAGAAAAGTAATATCACAATAGACCTTTCCTTTCCTTTAGACGCTTCGAGCGAAGGCCCTTCGTCTGAAATTCACTAACCGGAAACGGAGTACCCAGAGAAAACTCGCAACTTTCGGTGCAGCGTTGACTGACTCTTCTCATAAATAGAGAGTTTAAGATCTACGACGCGGCCGGCTCAACGACGCGCTTGCGAAAGAAAGAAATCTGTCATGCAAGACAAAAACTGTGAATAAATTTGTGGTCCCAGGGGTATTCTCAACGGCTTTGTCATGCTCAGCAGAACGTTAAACTAAGCCTTATCACGTCTTTCAAGCAACGCGAAGCTTATTGCGACCCAAAAGGTGATACTTAAAGTCGAAATTACAGCAAACATTGCATCGCTTTAGTCAAACTTAGCAGTTTGTAATGTTATTTGAAAATCGTCAAACATTTATTACAGTAATGAAATTGCTTAGCGTTCATTTTTTAGCTGAAATTCAGACCGCGTCGTTGAGCTGGCCGCGTCGTAGATCTTAAACTCT